CCGTCAATTTAGCACCGACATTAACAGACATTACCTCCTCATCCTCAAATTTATTAACGCCATTTAGTAAAAGTTAACGGAGTTTATAAGTCTTACAGCAAACATGAATAGTTGCAACATAATAAAAATGTCCGGAAGTTAATTAATAGTGAACGTACTCCGGGCCCTCTTGTACCTTTCTGTAACCACCACTCTGTAATTACCAACTTTGTTTTCGCAGTGACTAAGATAAATAATATGTGAACACACAATATAACGGAATTGAATTTGAATAAATCGCACTGTTTTGTGGCGATAAGAGTGTTAAAAAATGAAAGACGCTTTGTAATAGTGTGCTAAAGGTCATGTGAGCGAAGGCTCAAAGGTCTTGATTTTGAGTGCTCTCCATCACCGAAAAATCAACGTGTTGATATTCAAAACGGACGTCTGGCGATTGTTATGCGCTATGCAGACAGGATGGCCATTGGAAAGAGTCGAGTTATTGTAAATGTCAGACAGTAGCGATCTACCACTTCCTTGGCGTGCCATCCGTCGACTTTATCACTCACAAAGAACGTCAATAGTGGACGTGTCCGACATGACCGATGGCTAATAAATATTCGACGAGTGTAGGCCTAAAGACGGGACATGATGGAATGCACGATTTTTATTCGGAAAATTTGTACGAGGAGGAGAAGGAGAAGAAGACATGTGCGAACACATCTGCAAGAATGTTACAAAAGACATCAAGTTCACACCTTACACACACACACACAATGGGTAGTTAGAGATGCATTACAGCGCTCAACGGACGTTTGGTTTATCTCAACAGTTACATCTTCGCAGAAATTGTGATAAAATTGACAAGCGATTGTTTTAAAAAAACTATCCAGAATACTATTTTTATTTTTTATTGATTTATCTATCGTTCCTATCGCTGTGGGCCTTGGCCCATTTTACAGCCAATTTCGAATTATCAGCAATTGAATTTTTTAACGCAAAACCTTGTTTTCACCAAATTTTTAACCAATTGACACAAATACTCAAGATTTATGACAAAAAATGGTGCTCTTCTCTTAATTTAGACAAGTTCATAATATTGGGATTGAGCGTTATTTCGAGTTGTTTTTCGAAATTTCATTTCCTTTTTTGTTTTTGACAAATCAATAAATTTATAATTTTCACTTCATTATAGTTTTTTAAACATGAAAACAATGCAAATCAATTAAGTTTATACAAATTTTGGAATCATAGATAGAAAAATATTTTTTTCACTACTAGCTGTATTTAGTTTGTTTTTCTCTCCTAGTAGTCAATATAATCATTTTTATTATGGACCAAGGGCTATAATGAATTAGAGGTGGATAAATGCCGATGTTGGAGGGTATTACATTGATACAAATATTTCTAGAATATTATTATTGAAAACTATTACCATCACAAGTACTAACGGAAGTATTTTGAGATGAAATTAATGCAAAATCAAATAAAAAAGACATAAACTTCCTTATTAAAAACATCAGAATAAACACAACTCTAATACTTCTGTCTAAACTGTCAAAACTGTCAAAATAACAAATGAGTTTATTTCTTGATAAACACTATCGGTAATGAGACTAATTTTAACCCTTTTTCAATTTTCTTTGCATTTTTTTTTGTTATTTTAACAAATATTTCATATTATGAAGTAGAAAAAGAACAAAATAATACTTCCAATTTAAGTTGATAACTCAGATAAGTAATTAATTACTGTAGGTAATAGTGAATTAACAAAAATTGTAGTTGTGAATTACGACATTTACGTTTGAGCAACATGTGGCAGGATTATATTTTTCACCGTTGTATTTCTGGGTAATAAATGTGCTAGTGGTGAAAAAAATGTTATATAAAACACGGTAGAGAATATTTTTTTTAGCCTCGTATTTATTATTTCCTGAGATGCGTAGCTCGGCTGTAAAAAATCTCTGTACCTTCTGATATAATATACTATTGCTACCTCAGTTTTAGCTTATCATTTTAAGAATTTGTTTTTGTTTTTTTAATAATCTCTCTATTGATAATTTCTACGCAAGGTAATAATGGCTAAAGAATAACAAAATTATTAGTCATTTGATAATGTAAATTTTAAAAACAGCATTTTTTCAAACTAAATTTGTAAAAATAGTAAACAAAAATATCAAATTTTATTCACATAATTATATCAAAAACTAAGTAAAACATTTCTTGCTGCAAGCTACTTCCAAATAAAAAAGTTTTATGCTTAGCAGATGTTTATTATACACAACACTTGAAAATGGGATGAAAAATATGAAAAAGTGAAAAAAAAAACGATTTTAAAACCTAAAGAATGATTAAAAACTAACTTGGAATCTTTTCTGTTTGTTCGTTCTAAAGTCAAATGCACTTTTTTGTAAAATATCTGTTAGAAAATTGAGAAATAAGGCTGAAAATCGAAAACAGTGAAATTTTGTATTTATATTTTAATTGTAAATTATTGGGTTTTTCTACTTGGAAAGATTTGCTTTATACAGGGTGTTCCGTTTTTTTTGTTACAAATTTAAGCAGGTGATAGGATATTCAATTTTAACATAAAAGTTTCCTATAAACATGTATCGAAAAATATTAAATAAGGGAGCTACATCCCCTGAAACGGGTGCATCTTTTAATGGATTTCTTGAAATATTTCAGCAACCAATGTAGATAAAATTTCAAAATTTGATACAACTGATAACCTTTATTCACTCAAAAGAATTGAAAGATAAAATGTCGAAATTTTTTTTTTGTAATTTTTTCTATTCTGCAATAGTGGAAAACCCCCTTAAAAAACGCATCTCTTTCAGGGGGTGTAACTCGCTTACATAACATTTTTTGATACATGTTTATAGGAAACTTTTGTCTTAAAATTGAATATCCTATCACCTGCTTAAATTTGTAACAATAAAAACGGAACATAGTATAGTTTTCAATAAAATTTTTACATTACCTTTATCTCTTATTATTGAGAATTTAATGCTCTATGCTGAAAATTTGAGATAGGTAGTCTTCAAAGTTTGCCTACATTTTATAAAACTTTAAGCTACCTGTTTAAATTTGTAACAATAAAAACGGAACGCCCTGAATTTTCGTTTATTGCTCTTTTTCGTTTTCATGATGTGTGTAATCTCCATTAATGATAACACAAATAAATCAATAAAATCAAACCAAAAAATAAAACCAGCTTCACCACTTTTTTGTTTAAACTTTTCCAGAAAAAATTACTCAAAAGCATTGAACCGCACACAGTTTGAGTCTTTTGATTCTGTTACTTAAAGTTTTAAACAGATCAGTTAATTGCAGGGTTTTTTCTCAATAAAAACTCCTTTAAATACTTCTCACTAATCCAATAAAGTAAGTTTATAAATATGCAAATAAATTAGTAATAATGATTATCATAATTTATTGATGCACCAAGTAATTTGCAATTCAATTCAATACTGAAACGTTCTCAGAGTATTTTATGTTTCGCGTTTGAAATAAAATCGAAGAGAGTTAGCGCCGATTCGGGTGAAGAAAGCTCATTTCGCTCATTTCAAAAGATTACAAAACTCGAAACAAGCTGTTATGTTGTTAACTGTCTCTTGTCCATGAAAGGCAACATCTCTAAATTAGCCTCCATCCAACACCTTCGTGATGTATCATTCTCGTCGAAAACCTCCACTCTGTATATAATTCACACGTTCCTACGTTTAGAATTAACCGTGATTAATAAAAGCTCTTCTTGATTGGTAAAATAGCGACCTTTGTTCGATTTTCGCGTCCGTTAACCCCCGCCTGTTGTGAAAAGGGCTTCGAACGCTGTCCATCTGTCAACGACTATCTGTTTGTTTAACTGTAAGAAGTGGAAGTTATTGTCCGAAGTGGAAAAATATCAATGCGACGGCACGCAACGAAATGACCACAAATATTCAAATTTGACTTTTTTATGAGCGAAATTCGAAATAAAGCTCTGGGATAACTCATTTATGAATGATAGAGGCCATAAACACGATCCCAACAAATTCCAATTATTGCAAAGTTGATTCGATTTCCACAATTGACGTTTATTTGAAATTGTCACGGATTGTGAAGATGTATGCTTCTGAATGAGTTTTTTCATTGAAGATTGTGCCTCATCATCCTTTAGCAATATCCAATAACAAAACGTTCCATTGCGAAATGACCTCAAGACTGCACGATCGTTCAATCCAAAGAGGCACAATTTTCGCAGTTTTCGTCAGCGATAAGCAATCAAGGCTGATTTTGATTCAAAAAATCAACAAACAAATTTGATTACGGTGCGACCTTCGATTCTAACAGGTCCGAAAATTGTCAATACTTCCATTCCCAACAACGTAATACACGTTGACACGCTTGTCATTTTCGAATCGAGGTGAAGGCAACGGTGTAATTAGTTTACTCAAAATAATCTCTCGCTCAGTTAATGAGGTGAACTGTCAACTTTACTTCACTTTATTCCGCTTTAAAAACGAGCAATTTGCGTGATTCAAACATCTTATGGCTTTTGATACGTTATTGAATGATATAATGAAGCAGAAAGTTCTTCATCCACGTGATTATTTCACTTTTACTATTATGAACCAATCGTAATGCCTGTTGCTTGCAAATTTCAACCAATCATGGCGGTGATAAAATTTTTAATTGTAAAGTTGTCCAAGAAGAAAAAAACTGGGTAGTTGAGGGTGGTACTATTGACTCTATTAAAGCCATTGTAAAATTTCGGGAAAGTGACCCCCCAGTTTGTTTGGTACCTGCCTGACTAAACAACCATAAAGTGACAAAAATATTTGAATATTGAAAGAATTTCGTCTCTTGTGGAATTTTTAAATTGAGTTTGAGTGGTACCAGATAATCATTTAGATAAATGAGCTTTGGTCTAATCGGAGTTTATCTTGACCACCTGTGGCTTTAATTAAATTAACACTGGTTTAAATGGTGGTAGTACAAGCTGTCACTGATGGTACCACTGGTACCAAAAATCTAACCTGAGTAGCACCAAGAGGGCCAAACGACCGGACTTTCAGTATCCATGGTCTAGTACTTATGTCCACATTTCACTTTAGCACTTGGTGAACTTTGGCCACAGGAAGCACCTAGGTGCCAAAATCAGTTCACATCACTTGTGATGTCACCACCGCGAATCACTAAAAGGGTCACTATCTATCACTGCGCGGCTCACCGATCTTGTGACCACGGCAGGTGCAAGTCAGGTGAGATAGTTGGCCATGGACGGCCTCGGCAGGTCGGCAAGGCGCGCACTGATCAAGAGTGCTCTGCTTTGGAATCGGTCGCCACCACTCACCGCGCTGTCATTCACCATAGAGACCAGTAGGAGGCGGCATGGTACGGTGACAACACCCGAAACCTCCCACCACCCAATGGGCACCCGAAATGAATAGTACCATGAGGTCAAATTTGGGGCCTGATGGTCCCCATTGCGAAAATTTGACCTTACCTGTCGACAAAGTCGCAAAGAGAGCAAAGGATAGAGGGAAAACAAACACGTTGGAGTGAAACGAACGACGACAGTAGCTTATTGGTCAACAAAACAGGTACATGGAAGTTAAAAAGAGAAAAAACTAGTGCATCGCGAGAGATAAAAAGAGGTAGATGGTATGAGAAGTGACGATAGAAAACGACGGGCGGTTTTCAATTCGGACTTAGGGAAGACACACGTAATCAGAGAAACACACAAGAAAGAAAGAGAAGACTAATTAGGAGGAGGACGAGTAGTAGGTACTAATGAAAATCTGGTACATATTTATTTTCTGATGGAAGATTTGTTCGGGGCTAATTATTTGAAATTAGAGCGAGATGGACACAAACAAATAAGATAATTAATTTTCGGTTTAAAGGTACTTGATAGTACTAATTGAAATGGACAAGAAATAGAAAGCTGATCAAGTTTATTAATAGTCTACGAGCTGGAACAGGACATCTGTAAATAATTGGAGTAAATTCCAACAGAGAGGTCATTTTTACTCTCCTGGTACTCACTGGTACCAAAAATATTCAAACCTTTTGGTCAGATAATTTAGATTATGTGAAATATGGACTGTATGGAAATTTTAAGTACGTGGGGTACCATTGTAACAATGTAAGAAGCTTAAAAATTAAAAAAGCATTTACATTTTACAAAGATTCTGGTACACAATTTTTTGAAATTTTATTTTTTTGGTGGTTCCAAATAATCAAATTTCATTGATGCTATTTGAAATCGGTAAGAAATAGAAAATGCAAACTCAAAATTTTGAGTTTATAAGTAGGAATTATAACTTCGTAAGTTGTAATTCTTACTTTCTCATACAAAATTTCAAGTTCTAAATTCTTGATTTAGAAAAATCTACAAATCTACGTCTCTTTTCAAACTTGGCATTCAGAACTTAATAAACAAATAAAAGTTTTGAGTACTAAATTACAAACTTTCAAGTCGTGATTTTTCATTTTCTTTTTCTCATGAGTTTTCTCATGATTTTTTGTAAGTCGGAATTCTGAGTTTTAAGTTTGGAATTTTGAGTTTGTAAATCAGAATTTGAAAACCTGAAAATTCTAAGATCAAATAAAAAAAAAGTTATTAAGAGTACAAGTGCAAATATGAAAATTTAAAAAAGGGAGTAGGAATTTCCCAATTAAAACTTAAAGTTTTGAACTTAAGACTTGTAATTCAGAACTTAAAATTTGCAGTTTTACGTCCGATACTTGGAATTCTGTCTAAAATAGATGCAAGTTTGAGTATTTAGGTTGAACCTATGAATTTTAAACCGTGATTCTTTTTTGTTAAAGGTCTACAATGACTCTTGGTTTCAAAGTCGGAATTCTGAATTTGAAATTAAAAGTTTTAAGTTCCAGAATTTCAGCATGGAATTTCTAATTTAATAAAATAATTTTTCTTTTGTAAGTCGGCAGTTAATATTGAAAGTCAAAATTTTGTACTTAAAGTTGGGAGTTTTAAGTTCGAGTATTGGAATTTCAAATTCAACACAAAGTGTCTACAGGAACCGAAAGTCTATAATCGTAAATTGACATTCATATTCACAAGTAAGAATTGTGACTTTTTAAACAACAAATGTGATTTTCTTATTTAAAACACTAAATTCCTAACAGTTTTACAACATTGTGAGCTGAATTTCGAAAAAAGCAGCTTGAACTTACAATTGTTTTCCTTTTCTGTGTTTTCCTTATTTGGAGGTTGTGATTAAGAAAGAGAGAAATTGTTTGTATTGTTTATTTCGACCGAAAATAAATTCTAAATTTAATTTTTTTTGGTTTGGTTTTGATACACTTGGTTGCAAAAAATCGGAAAATGTCAAAACAGGAAAAGTTCAAATTTTTAATATTTAAAAAAAATATTTGAATGCGACAGATGACAAATCGACAACTAAATTGATAAGAGCAAAACCTGTTTCATTCTAAAGAAAATTCAATTTTCCGTTTTTATTGCAACCAACTGTAGTACCACCTTGATAGTTTTTATCAATTTTTGTTGATACTACTTGAAATCGATAGGAAATAGAAGCTGATCAGTTAAGAAGCTCCAAATTCACATCCAAGCGAATTCAAGTGGACTTAGATCGGGCAACCCAATGTCCAAATTTTCGTTTTCCCAAAGTTATAGAGATATTTTCCTTGGCACGAATGCGGAATATGTGAAAAATCCGGCTTATTTATTACCCGATTACGTTTCGGCATTAATTCACCGAATTATTCAAATCGCTGATGGAAAAAATAAATTCCGATTACAAAGCCAACAATCGTCCACAATCCATTAGACCGTCGTCCGAATAAAGCCATTTCCCACTGGTTTTTTGTGTCGTGGGCTCCACCACAAACCAGATTATTTACCCAGCCCTGACATTCACCTAACTAATTAATACCATTGGGATTAAGGTCAAGAGATCGAAGAGGCCGAACCAGGAACTCTCTTTGTTTTTAATTTCGAGCTAACGGCACGTCTTCCGGATCTGTTTTATGACGAATGAGAGGACAAACACTTGCCATCAATCTCGTCCCGACTTAATTAGCATTCACATATCATACGATCTGAATTTTAAACTGATGTTATTAGAATAAAAAGGCGGTTTAAGGCTTGATGAACTAATTATCGCTGCATCATTCAAAACGAGTTTTGTAAAAATATAAATGTTTGCGCTTGATGTCCGTCTGCAATTACGGAGTGGTTGGCATTGATTTGTTGACTCAATAAAAGTAAAATAGAATTTTGTCCCGTGTAAACACAAAGTTCTAATTGTATTGAATTGACATTATATAAGATCGGAAAAAAGTTAATAAATCTGGAATTCCCGCAGATGACGTCAATTAATTGTCAATGACAGATGAAAATGTGGACTGTTTTATTTCTAGCCGTTTAGTGGTGGCCACACTGTGGCTAATAAATGTGAAAAATGAGTAGAACACCTGTTGTTGGTCGAATTGTCGATTAATTGATTGTGGATTTGTGTCTCTGGCAAATGAATGTCTTAATTCACCTTTGAAATTTATGGCAATTCTCGAATTACAATAATTATTCCCAATTGATCAAAAAAGGATAAACAACAAGATATCCATATATAATCCTGTCTAACTGTTAGAAATGTAACAGAAGAAGTCCGAGATTCATTTAAAAACAACTTTTACTGCTATTTTGAATATTTTATTGGTGATATAATTCCGAAAGCTGTATATTTATAGAAGTGTTGTCAAAAATTAAACGAATATTTCAATGTCAGCTCGGGAATTTTAAATTTTTATTAAGCGTGTTGAGAATCTGGACTAGGAGGAGTGACCGCACGACCGTGACAATTTCTATATTTTGCTACAATTTTTTTCAGGACAAACAACTGTTGGTTTCGCTAATTGGATGAATTTTTCATTTAATCGATCAATTTAAAGACCAGCAGTTGGATTGGAGGTTGACAGTTAGTTTTATAGATCGTAAAGCACTGAAATGAAGTTGTCAGCGGTGATAACGACGTGAGAGGACGAATGTAATAAATTGTTTTTAAATAAATCCATAAATTTTTAATATCTATTTACCACTGCCGCAATTCTTGTGGATTAAAAAGAAACAATTATTCTAAACGAATCCAAAAAATCTTTTGGGAGTACACGTTTCCGATTTTTTACAAATTCTTACATAAAAAAAATGTCAACAAATTCAAGATTTCCGAAAATCCTAATTTTTTTAGCTGCTTCTAACATTCCAATTTAATAACTATTTTTCTAATAAGTAATAGAAAGTAAAAAAAATTCTTTCTTGCTCAAAAATTTCTAGCAATTCTACGTAATTTTGAGATTTTTTTTAAAAAAAGCTATGAAAATTTGTTCTATTAAAAAGTAAAAAAAAATTTTTTGCTCAAAAATTTCTTGCAATTCTACGTAATTTTGAGATTTGTTTTAAAAAAGCTATAAAAATTTGCCTTCTATTCGTATAATAAACAGCTTTACAAAATATCAAAAATGTTTCTTTATTTTTGATGAATTTTTATAAAGAAAAAAAAGCTCTACAAATGTAAGAAAATTCTTGGCAATCACCTTAAACATCATCATCATCTGGACTTCTAAATAAAGTTCTAAAAAATGCTTTCAAATTCAAAAATTCCAGATTAAATTTTTCGAAGCCTTTTTAAAATTCCCATTTAACATCAGTTCTTGTGTAAAGTAAACAAAAGTTAAAAAATTCTTCATTGTTTTATAAAAAGTCAGATTGATAATTAATTAAGAAAATTTAAAAAATGTCTACTCCGCTGTACAAAAAAATTATTAGTGTTAAATTTACCTTTATTTTCGATAATGTACTCTCTCTTTCACTGTCATTACTTTTTCCTCTTGTATGTATTTTGTTTTTAGTTTTATGTGTACTTAGGTTAAGTTGAATAGAATTTGCTTTTAATAATTTTTGTAAAGTAGTCAAAATTGTGTTAATAATCAGATCAGCTCAATTGTTCTCGAACTTTATTACAGAATAAAGGTAATTTTGAGAAATAAAAAAATAAAACATAATAAATAGTTACTCATTTTCTAATTTTTTCTAAAAAATTAAAAAAATATTGTTTTCACATTTTTATAATGTAGAATTCTCTTTCTGATTGGAAACACCTTTCAATTATTATTGAAAATTTTTGCTCATTTCTCTTAAATTACTAATAGAAAACATGCTAAACCCGAGGCAAAAAAAAATATTTTGAAGTTTTGGAAAATACTTTAAAAAAACTCTTGGCGTTTATCGATTTCTAAACAAATAAATATTAAAACAATCTTTTCAAATCTCGGAATTAATTTTTTTAATGTTTTTTGAAATTTACATTTAATGAATTGT